CAGGGAGCCCGATGCGGGACTCGATCCCGGGACTCCAGGATCATGACCTGAGCCGAAGGCAGTCTCTTAACCAACTGAGCCACCCAGGCGCCCCCAGATGGAAGTTCTTTAACATCCAAATCAGTGGTGCCTTTGGACTTGATGGAGCTCTTAGGAGCATCCAAGAGTTATATGACAGGACTGCATCATTGCTTCCTACCGCTGATCACGTATTTAATTCTAATTGGTTAAAATAAGAATAAATAGATCTATTAAAATCTTATGTCATTTCAATGCCAATGAATTAATGATGTCAAATAATTGTTATTATTTATTGAGAGCTTAAGAATATCACAAGTATTATTCCAAGTACTATATATCTGTCAACGAATTTAAGCTCCGTAACACCTCAGTGAAGGTGATACCAGTATTATGTCAATTTTATAGATGAAGAATTTGAGGCAGAGAGAAGTGGCATAACTTGGGCAAGGTTACACGGTCAGTAAGCTGCATATCCTGGATTTGAGTCCAGGCAGTCCAGCTCCAGAGTCCACACTCTCAAAATATTATGTGAAGTATTTCCTGCCAAGAAGAATATTGAACCATTAACATATTCTGAAGGTACTGTTTTATCTATACCATTGGTTTTCGACTCGGGGAATTCTGCACCCCCCTAGAGTACATTTGGCAATGTCTGGAGATATTTTTGGTTGTTACAACCTGGGGTGGAGGGGTACGACTAGCATCTAGTGGGCAGAGACCAGAAGTGCTGCTAAACATCCCACAATACACAGGACAGCTCCTACAATGAAGATTTAGCTGGCCCCAAATGTCAACCATATGGAGGTTGAGAAACTGACATGGACCCAGGAGAGGAGGGGACTATTAACATTTCATATTTAAACGGAAGGAATCTCAGACGTAAAGAGATGTGAAGCATGTTCCCCAAGAAGACACAGTTAACAGTGGAATGGAGATTCAAACCCAAGCCCTCTGACTTCAGAGTCCAACAATTGCCATCTCCCACCGCCAGGCTTCTCTGTGGGAATGCATTATTCCTGCCCATTTGGCTCTTTTCCCCACCCTGACCTTTTATTTTGGAAACTATAGGTACAGAGAATTTGAAAGAATAATAGATGTCCTCCTCTACCTAGGTCCACCAATTTTTAACATTTTCCCACATTTGTTCTATCCATCCTTCTGTCCACTCCAATTCTCTCAGTGGGACACCTGGTCCGGAGCAAGCCCTCAACGAATAATTATTGAAAATGGTGACCAAAAATGAAAGCCTATCCTGTATTCAAAGCCACCAACGTGTCATCGGCAGCTACTGATCAGTTCACTTACACTGATGGCCTAATTGTTTCTTTTTGTTCCTGCTTTTTTTTAAAACGAAGCTGCAGGTAGGATGCCATGTGCATGTCTTCGGAACAAGGACATTCTCCTACCTAGCCACAACATGATGATCACACGTAAGACAATCTTCCAAATGCCAGAGGATGTCTTCTGTGGCTGCTTCCCATCCTCCACCCCAATCCAGGGTCTAATCAGGGTGCAGACATTTAATTTAGTTTATGCATCCATAGCTTTTTTCCCCCCAAGTCTAGAATAGTTTCCCCTCTTTCCAGTTTTTCAGTCCCCCCGACCCCAAAGAGTCCAGGCTGATCATCCTGTAGGACAGCCCACATTATGGATCTGTCTGGCTGTGTCTTGATGATTTGATTGATGGTAAACATGTTTGTCAAGAAGCCTCCATGATGTTCTTACTGCACCACATCAGAAGGCGCGTGATACCAGCTGGTCTCCTCATGGTGAGGCTATTTTATACCTATGTGAGGTGGTGGCTGCAGCGCTCTCCCGTGGAAAATACACGTTACCCTCTCAAAGTAGTAAATGGTTTGTGGGGTGATAATTCGGGTCCAAGTAAAAAGCATCCTGTCCCCCAAAATAAGAAGTATTGTTTTTATACACACTTGTCACTTTTCAGAGAGGAAGAGGGCTTCAGAGAGAAAAAAAATGACCCTACCTCTTCAAACCTGCGTTTCAGTAGGGACAATAGTATCTCCCTGCCAGGGCTGTGGTATGGATCATGCTATAGACCGATTTGTGTCCCCCGCCCTCTCCCCGCCCCCATCCATATGTTGAAGCCCCAACCCCCAATGGGATGGTGTTTGAAGATGGGCCTTTGGGAGGTGGTTAGGTTTAGATGAGGTCACCAGGGTGGGGCTTTCATGATGGGTTAGTGACTGTACAAGAAGAGACACGAGACAGCATGCTGTCTCTGTCTCTCTGCTATGTGATGACACAGTTAGAAGACAGCCATCTGCCACCAGAGCCAGACTATGCCGACGCCCTGATCCTGGACTGCACGTGTCCAGAACTATGGGAAAATACATGGCTGTTGTTTAAGCCACCTAGTCTATGAGATTTTGTTATGGCAGCCTGAGCTGCCTAAAACAGATCAAGTGCTAAAACACTCAGGACAGTCTGTCAGTCATTACTGGACCTAGAAAAAGCGAATGAGTATAATACAGTTCTCTTCCATCATCTGAGATGCTGGGGGTTTGCTTGAGTCACCAAGGAAAAGGGCAAGGCTGGGACCGTGAGTAATTGGGCAAGTTTTGTCCCCCCTGGTGCACTGAACTCCTCAGAGCAAGGGCTTCGCACAGGAGAAGTGTCCAGGGACCCAGCCGAGCAATGGCCACCATAACAGCATATGGCCTAATGCTGGCCCCTGGCCCACAGTGAGAATGCTAGAGGGACAGACGGGCTGGGTTTAGAACTTACTGCTACCTCCTGCCAGCTCTAAGACCCTGGGCGTGTCCCCGACCCCTCTAACCTGTTTCCTTATCTATGACAGGGGATATTTACTGTGCTTGCCCACAGGGTTGTCAGGAGGATTCAATGAAACAGCATGTTCGGCCCGACATATTCTAAACACCCAGTAAACATGGGGGAGGACTGGTTATTAGAAATAGTGGTAAAAGACAAAAAACACAGAGGAACAGGGGTGTGGGCTCCTGAGCAGATACCGTTCTGCCCTGCACCGGGAACGAAGGACTGGGGGACCCGCATGCCTGTTCTGGAGACACCAGCGTGAACCGGGGAGAGAGGAGCCCCGCCCTTATGGAGTTAATATGCCAGCGCAGGGAACACAGACAGACCTGTAAGCAGATGTCTTGGGACACACGCTACGAAGAAAATAAACAGAGAGCCCTTACACAGGCTACCGCTGGGGAAGGGGGTCTGTGGATAGAGTTGTCAGAAGCGAGCCTCTCAGAGATGACAGGAAGAATGAGACTGGAAGGGTAAGAGGCAGCCAGCTGTGCAAATGGACAGACAGAAGAGCATTCTAAGCAGGGGTGCAGCAAGAGCAAAAGCCCTGAGGCGGAAAGGTGCAGGGCAGGCTAGGGGAGTGGGGGGCTCTGGAGCCTGGTGAATGAGCCTGAGGTGCGGGGAGTGGCCGCAGGGGACGAGGTGGGGGTGGCCGGCAGGGGCCTGATCACAAAGGGCAGTGGAGGCCATGGAAGGAACGACAGGAAGGTTTTTTGTTTTTTTTTTTAATTGTGGTAAAATATACATAACATGAAGTTCACCACTTTAATCATTTTTAAATGTCCAATTCAGGGGCATTGAGTACATTTATATTGTTGTGCAACTATCACCACCAACCATCTCCAGAACTTCTTCATCTTCCCAACTTGAAACTCCATCCATTAAGGACGAACTCCCTACTCCCCACACCCCCTAGCCTTTGAAGGGCTTTCAATGAGATCTGTCAGCCAACGGGTGCTCCGGTAGTTGGAGACGATTGCGAATGAATGAAAGGAATGGAATGAAAATGGCTCATGAATCACTGCAAGGCACAAGCAGGAGCAGGAATGGCATCGGAGAGGGATGCTGGTTTGCACGAGAAGCCGAGATGGAAGGAAACAGGTAGATGTGAGAAGCACTGAAAGGCAAGCCAGGCAGGACCGAGTGCGGCCATTCCCTTCTCCCTGCAGAGGTGCTGGTGGGGCGCGGGCGGTGGGAGGTACTCACAGCTGACCTGGGAGCCCAGCTTGTGCTCCCAGACGGCATGCAGCTGCTGATACTCCTGCTGCGCAAGCTCCAGGCGCTGCTGCTTCACCTGGTAGATCTCCTTCTGCGCGCTCAAGGCCTCCTGGGCCACCACCAGGTAATCCTTCAGCATGTGCTCCTGCTCCCGCCGCCATTGTACCCGGGGGTCCTCGATCTGAGTGGTTTCTGGAACAGACCCCAGACACCCTCGGTCAGCACTTCACAAATGTCTTGTTGGGTAGGTGGCCTGTGGAATCCACTAGCAGAAATCAGAAAGCGTGGTAAATAGAAAATCACGATAGAAGCGGATGGGTTCAACTTACCTATTAAATCCACTTGGATTAAACAAACAAACACGAAATAAACCAGAATCATACCCAAAGTCAAGCCATACCCAAAGTCAAGCCATCTCAGAACAGCCAAGAGAAGGACCAGGTTTGATTTCTAATCTAGACAGAGGCTCAAGGACACTTGAGGTGCTTAAGGTCAGCTGTCTTGGTCGAGTAAAGAAAAATAAATCATATTTTAGAGGCTATGAAAAAAATAGGGACCCTATTCCCTGCTGGAAATGTAAATTAGAATAGACTTAGAAGAGGACTAAATGATTATGCAAATTAAGAGCCTTAAAATGTGAACACCCTTTGATCCATAATTCCCCCATAGTAATTTATTATTAAATGTAATAAAGTAGTCAGGCAAAGATGCATTTGTACCAAATCAGGATGATAATAATAATGATGATGATGATGATGATGATGAAAATAATAACTAGCACTTATTTCATGTTTACTGTATGCCAAGCACTGTTCTAACGACTTTACATCTCTTTACCCCTTCGATCCTTACACTAACCCCAAAGACTAGATTCCGTTATGACCCCCACTACTCAAAAGAGAAAATCTGGACACAGGTCAAATAACTTCTCAAGGTCACACAGAAAAGAACTGGCCAAAGAGCCTTGCTGCATTTTACATAATACACTGCCATAGCCACTAAAAATAGTGTCTTCAAAGAAATATGGGTGAAGTGGAAAGGGGCCTATGACATCCAAGTGGAAGCGCGGGGGCAAAACTGCATAAAGAGTTTTGTGATTATTGAAACAATATGTACATTCTCAAAAAGATTAGGAGACAACTTAGCAAGTTATTGACAGTAGATATGTCTGGGTAGTAGGATATTTTTTCTTCATTCTTTTTTGAAAAAAATTATGTATACAGTAAATATGTACAGCGATCATTTGAAAAAGTCAAAACCCTGAAAGACAGACATTTAAAAAAATGGACAGTTGGCAGCTGAGCAGACACGGAAGAGGTCAAATCAATGTCAAAGAATCGATGTTCATCAACTGCCAACCATCCAGCCATCTCCCAGGTGGTGCGTGGGGTTCAGGGGCAACTGACACACCAGAAACTGTACCATCACGGCCATGTGGTGAATCCAGCCAGTAGACAGGTTTTGCTTAACCCAAAGTGTTTTATTAATTGTGAGTTGGTTACTAGTATGTAAAAATAGGGAGATTTACACAGTAGAATCCTGATCTCTGGTTTCTCAGAAGATCTGGCCACGCTGAGTCCACGGCTGGCCACAGACCCGTGCCCTCCATCTTCATTCATTCGTGTCACGGATCTGACTCCTGGGGAATTTGAGTTTGTGCTGCCTTTCGTAGGCCCTATAGCTCTCATTCCTTGTAAGCAGGCCCAAATGAGCATCTCCAGTGAAAGCAAGAAGGGATAGGGAGAATGATCACAGGAGCAGCAGGGCGGGGGCGCCTGGGGGGCTCAGCCAGTTAAGCGACTGATTCTTGATTTCAGCTCAGGTCTGATCTCTGGTTGTAAGATGGAGCCCCACATCAGGCTCTGTGCTCAGTGCGAATTTGCTTGAGATTCTCTCTCTCCCTCTCTGTCTGCCCCTCCCCATTGCTTGCATGCACTCTCTCTTTCTCTCAAATGAATACATAAATAAAATCTTTAAAAAAAAAAAAAAGCAGTAGGGCCAAGTTTTCATCCCTGCTGGTAACTGCTGTGTTACAATGTGCAGGCTGCTTAACCTCTCTGAATCTACTTCTGTAATTATTAAAGGGGCTAATGGGCCCTGCCTCCCTGCTTCCTAGGGAGCTGTAAAGCACTTCTGCCCAGGTAAAGTAAACAAACGATGGTTGAGAGTAAAGCCCAAACTATTTTCTGGGATCAGTTTCTGAACTGTCCATGAACAGCAATTCCTCTAGCTCTCCCTCGTCCCTTTTTCTGGGAAAGAAAACAAGGACTGAAGATTGCTGGCGGGAGCCACAAGACTGCTTCTCATAAGAAAAGCTTTGCAACCTTTCCACCAAGAAAGGAGGAGGAACATCTGCAAGAAAAGATTAAGAAGGGGAGTATTTATAAAGCTGGGCCCCATGTTCCATCAGTAGATGTGGACTCCCTCAGAGTCAGGGACTCCCGAGCGCCCCTCGAGCACTAACCTCAGACCACCAGCTGACAGAAGCCACAGAAAAGAAACAGCCGGTCACCGCCAGGCTAGAGATGTTTTCGAAAGTTTGTAACTTTTAAAAATTTACATTTTTGGGAAAAAATACTGAAAAATACAAAAAAGGAACATCTCGCAATTCCACCACTGCAAATTTATAAAGTAAGAAGTGAGAGTTTCCATGTCTCTAATCCTATTCCTCAGAGGTAACTGCTGCTAGGAGTCTCGCACACTAGGAGATAATGCCCTCTGATTCCACATAAATCTGTTCATACATGTGTGTCTATATGCACTAATTTATTTTTAATGCAACGTGGCCCCATGTCACATCTACTAGTCTGTAATCTGCTTTCATCTGCAAATGATATATCATGTTCATCCTTCCTTGTGGGTGCGGATTCAACTCAACTTTTTTGTTTATTCATTGTTTTTAGTTTTATTACTGTTTTTATTTATTTTTTAGTTTTTTATCTACCTCGACCACTTAAATGGTTGCATAGTATTCTATGATATGGTGGTAGGCTTTATTTATGGTAGGGTGTTAGTGGTTTCCCAGACCACTATTGGGAAACATTTGGATTGTTTTCAGTTCTTTTGCTACCACAATCAATACTGCAGTGACAATTGTTAAAAAAACCATAATGAACTTGTGTGATTAATTCTGAGGGATATATTTCTTAATAGAGGGACTACTGGGTCGGAAGGTATATATATATATACATATATATATATATTTTTTAAGTTTAGCAGATAACAACCAAATTACCTTCCCAAAGGTTGTACCAATTTTCTCATGAACAGCCTATGAAAGTGACTTTTCCCCCAGATTCTCAGCAAAACTGTTTTAAAAAAAATGTTGGTACTTCATCCAGTAATTTTGGGTCCTGGCAGTGTATTAGAATCAGCTGAGGAGCTACAAAAACCAAAAACACAAAAAAGCCTGAACTCTGCCCCAGAACACTTAACATCAGAATTTCTAGGAGTGGGACCCAGGCATTGAGAGTTGTAACAGCTTCCCCAGGTGACTGATATGCAGACATGGCTGAGAAGCCCTGACTGCAACATGAGAATCACTTGGGTATATTTTGACACTCCTGATGCCCAGGTTTTAGATCAGAATCTCTTGGGGTGGGAATCAGTCAATGGTGATTTGCAAAGCTCCCCAAATAATTCCAACGTGTCACCAAAGGTGACAACCACTCTCCAAGAGGTGCCAACACAGATGGGCTGAGCGGTCACTGAGGCTGGCAGGCAAGGCTGGCTGGTGTGATGCTGAGCTCCAGGTGGGATCACCCACCAGAGGGCTCGCTGAAATGCTAGGCCCTGGACAAGAAGCTAGGGCACACCCCGATGAACCCTCCCTCTGGCACCCGCCCTGTGGCTGAGGCCCTCCTCCTTGGAATATAAACGAACGGGAGAGACTTAATTGAAGGCTGGCTGGTTACCATTTTTGGTGGCCCAGGCTCTCTTTTACAGTAGAAACCAACACAGATAGATGAACGCACACAGAGACAAACAACACACAACCCCACCTCAGAACACTGGTTTCAACCTGGCTGCACACTGGGATTACCCCAGAGATTTCCATTTAATTGGTCTGCATTATGAAATGGGCATCAATATATTGCTTCAATCAACTTTACTAAGGCATAATTTAAATACAATGAAGTGCAGGCATTTGAAGTGTGTATAGTTCAATATGTTTTGACAAATGTGTATACCATAAACCACTGCTTGAATCAATGTGTAAAACACTCCCTTTACCCTAACAATCCCTGTACTCTTTTTCCCAGTCCCCCCCACCCACCTCCTCCCTCCGCTTCTGTTTTGAACTTGGTATCAATGGACCGATACAGTGTGTGCTTTCTGGGCCTTGCTTCTCATGCTCAGCATAAGGCTTTTGAGACTCATTTATGTTGTTTCTATCAGTGACCTGTTTCTTGCTATCGCTGAATAAATATTCTATTTTTTTTTTTTTAAGATTTTATTTATTTGAGAGAGAGAGAGATAGCAACAGAGAGCACAGACAGAGAGCACAAGCAGGGAGGAGAGGGAGAAGCAGGCTCCCCGCTGAGCAGGGAGCCTGATGCGGGGTTCAATCTCATGACCTGAGCTGAAGGCAGACGCTTAACGACTAAGCCACCCAGGCGTCCCTCTGAATAATATTCTATTGTGTGAATTTATCACAATTCACTTTTGATAAACTTTTAGGTTGTTTCTAGTTTGAGATTTTTTAAAAAAGATTTATTTATTTATTTGAGAGAGAGAGAGAAAGCACGCACACCCAAGCGGGAGGAGGGCATGGAAGGAAAGGGAGAGAGAATTCTCAAGTAGACTCCCCACTGAGCATGGAGCCAGATGCAGGGCTTGATCCCAGGACACTGAGTTCATGACTTGATCCGAAATCAAGAGGCAGATGCTTAACCGATTGAGCCACCAGTCGCCCCTCTAGTTTGGGATTATTATGAAAAACTTTAATGAACAGGCATGCACAAGTCTTTGTATGGGCATCTGTTTGCATTTCTCCTAGGTAAAACTATCCAGCAGTGGAATTGCTGGGTTGTAATGGTAAGCATATACTGAATTTTATAAGAAACTGGCAAATCATTTTCCAAAATGTTTGTTCTGATCTAGATTCTCACCACTAATATATTAGAGTTCCAGTTCCTCCACATCCTCACCAACCAATGGCATTGTTCATCTTTTTCATTTTAGTCATTACA